GGACCCGGGATTTTATTCATTTCTAATCTATCTATTTGTCTTTCATTCATCAGGAGTAAAGTTTTGATTTAATTGTTCTAAATCTTCAGCTTATATCTTTGGAGTCTTTGTGTTTGTGAAATAATTTTGAATATCTGTATCTTTAGGGTTAGTTTGTAAATTATATAAAATTTATTAAATTTGTTCCGGGGAGGTATATATATCTTGACCCTCCACAAGTCTTTCTACCCTATCTCTAGATCTTTGTTTTCGACGTTTTTTTTTGTCAGATTTTGACTTAACTTCAATTTATTTATAGTTACTTGAATTTTTACCACATTTGGTAAATAGACCTTTACATAAGTATGTGGTTTATTATCTATATTACCCACCAATATTAGATATCTCGCCTCTTTATCTGCTTCTTGGTATAGAATATCAACTATAATATACTTATATATAGCAAATATAATTGCCACGCCTCTTTTTTTCTAAAGAGGCTTGTCTAATTATTGGAAACTTCAATCCTCCCCATTTCTGAGGGGAATTTTGTAGCCAATGAGTTTCTTGTATAAAATCTATTTGAATATTTCCCTCAATCAAAGAATGATATATCCTATTTCTTTTTGTTATTGTATTTAAACCCTGTGCATTTATAAACATTAACCTAAACATTGATAAAAAAAGTTTCTTATTAGATAGGAACCTGATCTGATTACATATTACACAACACATAAACCCTTCATACTTAGATGGCTGACCTTTTCTATGATCGCCAATCTCATACAATACATATTCTCCTAGGAACCTTGTTCCATTTATTCCTTTGCAGCTCATAAGAGTTGCACGGAAAACAATGTACTATGTACAAAGTGGAGCAAACCTTTTGGAGTGGTAAGGGTTTATTTAAAAAAAATTATTATTGATTATGATCTTTCATTAGATTTTCTCCCTATTAAAGGAGAAAGAAAGAAGAAAAAATAAATACATAAAATATAAACACCCTTCTTAAGTAAAATTTCCTTCCCTTTTGTTCACTCATTTAAATTTACCTCTTTTATTTCCTTGTGATCTAAACTTTATACTAATTTACTAAGTCTTAATCATTAACTTCAGTATTAATCAATGACTTCAGTATTAAAATATCTTAACATTTAGTGCATTAATCCCATTATTTCATTCTATTTTGACTATCGTGACTTCAGTATTAAAATATCTTAACATTTAGTGCATTAATCCCATTATTTCATTCTATTTTACTTGTATCTAGGTGATTCCTTTTTCTTTCCTTCCCCTTCCCTTCTCTTCCCCTCCCCCTCTTTCCAATTTAACTCTTGAATGGTTATGTAGGAGTTAAGAAAGTTCAGTTAAGTGAGGTAGGCAAATTTCTCTCTTTCTTCTTTTTCTTCTTAACTTATAATTATGTCTTGTTTCTCAAAATATCATATTGTCAAATAAGCCACCAATTGTATATAAATTCATATTTGTTACATTAATATTGAGTGCTTTAAACTTATCTATTTTAATCATTGAGGTTTTCCACTTCTAGTTACTCTGTGTTAACCCATGCTATGTGAGTCTTAAGTATACTTCTACTCCAATCATGAAAAAAAATCTCCTCTTATTTAATCAATTAGCCCTTTTCCTATTGTTTAAATTAGCCCTTTTCCTATTGTTTAAACAGGTTTGCCAAGCATTGGTCGACATTACTTAGTAGTTGAACATAACATTTGCGAGTATTGGTTATTTATCGCTTAGTGTCCAGGTATGTACATGACGTAACAGTCTATCCAGCGATTTTGTTTCTGTCTGTTTTCTTCCTTTCCTCTTGGGTTTGGGGTGGGGTATAGAAGAAAAAGGGATGGGGATAAGGGTACTAGCTCTTTTTGCGTTTTGTTACCCCTGGTTCGGTATGTGGTTCCCTTTCCTGCGTCCCCTTATTCACCCCTTTGGAGGGGGGTTTGCAATGGGGTATTCAGATCAGGGGGGATTGCGTCGCATGTGTCGTCAGGTGTAAGCCCGTTTGGGCTATTCTGGTCTGCTCTCTTTCGGGGCTAACTGCTTGTCATTATGGCTATCGAATTTTGGTGTCATAAGTTAATTGTGGACTGCGGATTGGGGTGGGATCGCAGGTGAGGGGGGAATGGTTGTCTTGTCTTCGAGCGTGATGTATGGTTCATTGGGTTTGGAGGGTGCTAGTTCTGAGTAATGCCTACAGAGGAGATATACTGGGGGGGTGGAAGTCCATGTGTGTCGCCTTGATTGCCTGTCTCGTGGCATGATTTTGTATCGTGTGTTTTCCTGCTCTATGTGTGTTGCCACCCGTATCATTGTCTGGTCGAGAGTGTGGGTGTTCGTGGGTCCAATCTGTGGTTGGATGTGAGTGTTCCCATTGTGGATTTCCTTTGAGCTTCATGAGTTGTCTTTATCCCTGGATCTGTATACGGCTAATGGGTCTCGAGTAGCGGTATCGTCTGTACCTGGTGTGTGGTGGGGTGGGGGTAAAGAGTGGTAGGGGGAGAAGTGAGAGGGAACACAAAAAAAAAAAAAGAGAAGGTGGGAGGGTGGGGGGTTGGTCTCCCGTTATGTGGGTATGCGGGAGCCCATCCGCCCCAGTCCGGTTTGTGGTCTGTGTGTGTTTTGCTCAGTGTGTGTTACCAATTGTCGGGAATTCATAGAACCATGGGTCCCATATTTTGTGGAAGGTTTTGGCGGTGTCGTGCACTAATGCGGACAATTCGTCCATTTTGATTGTGTCTGCTATTTTTCTTCTGATGACCTCCATGGTGGGTGTTTCGGTGCTACCCCTCTTTTCAGCTATTGCCCTCCTGGTTGCTAGAGCTATCTTTGCTGTCAGCTTGTTTTGTGCTCTGGGTATGTCTGCGTATGGTTTCGATAGCAGCCAGATCCAGGGGATAGAGGGATATCGGTATGTAGGATTCTGGAGACCATGGTCGCTACTTGGCTCCAGATTAGTTTGATTGGGGGGCATTCCCACCATTGGTGGAGGTAGGTTCCCTTACAGCCACAACCCTTCCAACACAGATCCGAGTCTGACCTGCCCATCTGTTTCAATTTTAGGGGAGTGATGTACCATCTCATTAAAGTTTTATATGCCTGTTCCTTATGATTGACGCAAATGGAGATAGTGGCTATGTCCAGTCTGATGCGTCCACTGTGGGGCCTAGGTCCCTCTCCCAAGGTCAGGGAGCCGTGTTTGATGTTTTGGATTATGTGGGAATAGAGAGCGGAGATTTGGCCTTTTTGGATTGGGGCGTGCATGCATTGTTTCTCGAAGGTAGTTAGTGCCGTGGTGCCTGTCTTTGTGTTTGCAGGGGTCACGAGGAAACTTTTGATCTGTATGTGCCTAAATAAGTCGGCTGTTCGAAAAAGTGTTGTCTGCGGTAGTTCGGGGAATGGCTTTATGCGTTGGTCCTGGAAGAAGTGGTGTAGGCGCGTAAGATTGTTGTCTTCGAAGCGCGTGAAGTCTCTGGGGGAAATTGTGTATTACGGAGTATTGGAGTTAGTGGGGATAGGGGCACGGTGAGGCCACTATTGTGGGCTATTCTGTCCCATATTCTAATGGTGTTGATCAGCGCTGGGGTTGTCCGCAGCATCGGAGGCCTGGCATTTTTCGGTAGCCAGATGTAGAGGGAGGGGTGGTCTCTACCGAATAAATCATGCTCGAGGTCCACCCAACGTTTTACTCCGTATTGGGCGTGTAGGTTTTGGGCTTGCGTCAATTGTGCTGTCTGATAATAATGGGTAAGATGTGGGAGGCCCAGACCCCCTGCCCTGTTAGGTACGTACAGGGTTTGTCTCTTTATTCTCGTGCGTCGGTTGGACCATATGAACTTGTCTATTGTTGTCTGTAGTCGTTTGAAGTCCGGGGCAGAGATTGGGATGGGGAGGGCATGAAATAGATATAAGAGCCTGGGTAGGATGTTAATTTTTACCGTGGCCAGTCTGCCCAGCCAGGAGATTGACATGTTCTGCCATTTGTTGATATCGTGTGTGATTTTCTGTATGAGAGGGGTGTAGTTCAAAGAGTAGCTTTGAGAAAAGTCTGTTGGAATATTGACTCTGAGATATGGTATGTGGTTGGCACAGAGTTTAAAGGGGTACGTCCTGATATGGTATGTGGTTAAACTACAGAGTTTAAAGGGGTACGTCCTGTGTAGGTGCTCTATAGTGGCGGTCTCTATGTGAAGGGGTAAGGCTTCCGTTTTATCTATATTGAGTTTGTGTCCCGAGTTTCGGATGTAGTCTTCCAGGGCCTGCAAAAGGGGCGGTAGGGAGGCGGACGGGTCCGTAAGGGTGATTAGTAAGTCGTCCGCGTAGGCCGCAGTTTTATACTCCTCTCCGCGGATTTTGAGGCCCTGTATGGCTGTGTTCTGTCGATTGTTCTGTAGGAGCGGTTCTAGGGATAGGGAGAATAGGATCAGCGATAGCGGGCATCCTTAACGTGTTCCATTGTGTATGGTAAACATGTGCGATTGTGTGAGAGGTATAAGGAGGCTGGCTCGTGGAGAGGCATATAACGCTTGCAGTGCTTCTATGAAGCTCAAAGGAAATCCAAATTTTCAGAGGGTTGCGAAGAGGTACGGCCAGAGTAGCCAATCAAAGGCCTTTTCTGCGTCAAGTGATAGTAGGAGGGTGGGGATGCGGTTTGTTGTTGCGGCCCATATGAGGTCGTATGTTCTTCTGGTGTTGTCACTGGCCTGTCTTGTAGGGATGAAGCCCACCTGATCGGGGTGGATGAGTTGGGGTAAATGGGGGCAAATTCGGTCTGCCAGGAGTTTTGTGAATATTTTTAAGTCTACGTTTAATAGGGAGATAGGTCGGAAGTGACCTTGGTCCAGGTGGGATTTGTTGGGTTTGGGGAGGAGGCAGACTTTGGCCTGGAGCATTTCTTGTGGCCAAGAAATGGGGGATGAGTGCGGGGGCGTATGTTTTATAGTATACCCCCATGAACCCGTCCGGGCCTGGGCTTTTGTTTGGTTTGAGCGACTTCAGTGTGCCTGCTAGTTCTTCCGGCGTTGTCGGGTCCATCAGTTTTTGTGCCGCCTTGATCGGCAGGGAGGGTAGTGGGGTGCGTGTGAGATAGTGGTCTATGAGTGTTTGAGTGTTTGAGTGTTGGTTGGGTCCTGTCGTGCGTCAGGGTCGTGGTCGTATAAGGACGTGAAATAGTTTTGGAACACCTTCCGTTTGGTGTGGCTATTTTATGTATCTGTTTCGCGGCCGTCCGGGGCCGGAGTTTCTGTGCTAAAAGAGTGTCGGCCTTGTTGGCCTTATCGTAGAAGAGTTGTTTGGACCACAAAAGTGCTTTCGTTGCGTCCCTTTTCATGTATTCCTTGATATCCGTCTGGCATTTTGTGATGTGTGCTATCACTTCTGGTGTGGGTTCGAGTTTTAGCTTGGTCTCCAAGGTTTGGAGTGTCTTCAGTGTTTGTTTCAGGTGAGCGAGTTGTTTGTTCTTGTGTATGGTTGCTTGGTTTATAATCGCCCCCCTTAGGACCGCTTTATGGGCCGCCCATAAGATGCATTTAGATTCTACCGAATCTCTGTTAAGCTCGAAGTATTCTGTTATGGTCCGGGCGATCGTAGATCGGATCTGTGTATTGTGAAGAAGAGTGGGGTTAAGTCGCCACTTCCACGCTCGGGCCTCGCCTGGGATGGTAAATGTTAGTGTGGTGTGTGGTTGGACCAGGTTATATGGCCAATGGTCATCTTCAGTGTGGGTTTCACTCTCATGGGTGGGGGGGGTCGGCGCTTATGGTTTGGTTCTGTGTAGCTTGGGGTGCCATCAGGTAAGGGTGTGCATGACCGGCCCGTGGCCTCGTGGCCTTGGGCTATCTGGTGTGTAGAGGGCCGATGTCCTGGTGTGCAGGGCCCTTGTGTGGCCGTAGCTTTATGTGCCAATGTAGGGACTGGGGAACGTGTCCTTGCGGGTCTATGTTTACATGTCTCAGGGGGCGTGCGGTGGGGCCCCGTGTCCGCGGTGGGTAGGGTCGTGGTGACTAGCTGTCTGGAGCGCTGCTGAGGTGGAAGAGACATGTGTGAGACATGTGCCTGGCCAGCGGGCCGTGCATCAGTGGCCGTGGGATGTGGTAGCTGCCCCCTGTGAGGCATGGCTCAGCGGTTGTCTGTCCTGATCCGCGGTTGGGCATCTGCCCCTGTCCGTGTCCCCTGTCTATAGAACATATTGTATAGGCTGTGTGGAAATGCGGCCCCTGAGGGCATGTCGGTCCCGGGTTGTGGTGTCTAGTGGGTGAGGTCCTGTGGTGTGGCCCCCTGTACATGGTGGGTTATTCCCTCCCTCCCGGTAGTGGTCTGTCTGAGTCTACCCCCCAGCTGTCACATGGGGGCGTGTTCGCTTCTGGCCCATTGACATGGGTTTGGGGTGGCGCCCCGGCGGGGTCTTGGTTTGGGGTGGCGCCCCGGCGGGGTCTTGTCATTGTCATCGGTGGTATGCCTCGGTTGCGAGGTGATTTGGTGCTCAATTCGGCTAATTGCCTTATGGTCCAGTGTGGGCAGGTGCTCCATGAGTGAGGTGGAGCCCCTGAGTCTGTTGGGCGTGGGGGCATGGGTGTGTGCTTGGCTGGTAGGTGTGCAAAGAAATTGGGTAATCAGCAACAATCAACTATCATGGAACAGTAAAGTAAATCGTAACCTACAGCATGACTCATTTTTACCAGGGAGACTATATGCGTTGCGAGGGGCCTCGGGCCTATGTCGGTGTGGGCGGTCCCCTCTCGTCATAGTCCCCCAATCCAGTGATAGGTAAGCGGCTCCCCCGCCGCAGGAGAGGCGGTCATCGCCAACCTTAGCAGACTGATGTCCGGCCCCCCTGCCAGCAAAATCTAGTGACTTTCTTTCCCCCCCACCACGGGCCCCTCGGCCCACCGCCCTGGCAAATATGTCTAAAGAGCACTTTTCTTTTAGTATACTTTTAAGTATTTGCCAAGAATGTTCAGTATACATCCAGGCTCACCCCATGCTAGTCAATTTATATGGGTCGTGATGGGTATTACCCTGCAGTTTAGTTGTTGGGCCTGTGGGGTGGGGCCGAAGTTTTCCGCCTGAGGTCCCACGCCTCCCTCCCGTAACTTTACATGCCGTCTGAGCCTGGAAGGGGGTGGTCGGTGGTAGGGGGTCTGTGGCCAGGCCGCTGGGTCACCTCTGTGGTCTAAGTTGAGGGACCCAAGACCTGCAACGGGGCTCTGTAGGTGGCGCCCAGGTGTACTACCCACCCCTGGTGTCACCCATTCTGCCCGTGACCAGAAGTGGAGCTGGGGGAAAGCCCTGTGATTAACGGCCCTAAGGGGTAGCGTTATGAGTCTGCTGAGGCGTGCCCTGTGCATTATGTCATGCCCTTTAAACATGGAAATTGAACATGTGAAACAATAAACTTAATACATTACGTCCAGGAACTGAGGGCGGTCATGAGGTCATAGATTTTGGTGTAAAATAAACCTCCATTAGACAATCGAACACTGCTGAAACTTCCTGGTTTCACTTTGACACTTCGACAGAAGTCGAAGTGCGTTCGACGATTCGAACGCCGCCTTCAGGTGGGACTTTGTTATTTTTCAGGGCAGAAATAGATCGACCGCACAGCCTGAATCTGTGGAACTGTTTTGGGCATGCAAACAGGTGTGCGGTCTGTCCAAAGAGACTTTTTAAAATTTCTGGAACCCCTGAAACGATTTGTACATATTTTGAATATGTTTTCCCCCAAGTTGTGTTGTTCATAAAAATATAAATTTTATTCCTGTATGATGAAAAATCTGAAAATTATGAAAATTCATAAAAAGTAAACGCTTTAGCTTGGAGATAATTGAGTAGATACAGTAAGAAACTTATCTCCCAAGAAGAGGGGAGGGACTCTGTGGATTGTAACCATTGTCTGATTGGTTAACATCTAATTGTTTGTGGGTGTCTCCCTTGCATGGGAGCACCACATAAAAGGAGAGTACCTGTCATTAAACCTCAGTTCTACTTTACCCTTCAAAACGTAGCTTTGTTTCATTATTGAAAGGGAACCTGCTCAGCTAATCACTAGCTCTTTTAAGAGCTATACCAGCCTGTTAAATCCACAGCTTCTACCCCTCCTCCAACCACAGCTGGCAAGAAGGTCCCATTTGCTGCCTTTAAAACCTTTGTGGAAAGCGAAGACTAGATTGATGGGTACCTGGCGGATTTTGAACTACAATGCTCCCTACACCACGTACTCCCAGAACAATAGGTCACCATGCTGTCCGGAAAGCTGACCGGCAAAGCCAACGAAGCCTTTCGGGCTCTTACCCCAGAGGATATACAACAATACCAGCTGGTGAAGGATGCACTTCTCACCAGAGACTTACCGTCACCTCTTCCGGGAGTCCAAGAAAAGGGCTGTGGACTCCCACATGGAATGGGCTTGCCGGCTACAACGAGTGGCATCCTACGGGGTCAAAGGTTGCCATGCCAACACCGGGAAGGAAGTGTTACAGCTGTTCCTGATGGAGCTTTTTTTCCAGGACTTATCTGCCAATGTACAGGACTGGGTACGAGACCGCCATCCCCTCACCTTAAATGATGGCAGATGAGTACGCCGAAACTAGAAAGGTGAGCCAAAGCACTCTCCAACAACCTAACCGTGTGGAGCACCCTACCCCAGCACCAGTTCCTCGCTCAGAATTCTGTGCTCCCATACCCCCAGGGCCTCCTCGCCCCCAGGGGTCCAGCAACTACCCCCGAAATCTATCCAAGACCACTTGCCATCGGTGCAGCAATACTGGACACGTCACCCACTTCTGCCCTTTGGGATCATCTGCTACTAACTGGAGGCACCCCTCACCCAAAGCAGAGCTCACAACACCTCGTGCCTCTGCCGCCCATTGCCTGGAGACCGGTAGCTGGGGCCAGAGGAATGCCTGGGCATCCTTTATGATGCGGACCCCATACAAGCCGCATCCCCAGACAACCGTCAGCATTACCGCCAAGAGCTACGAGTGAATGGCCAGATAGCCCAAGGCCTGAGGGACACAGGCGCTACCATCACCCTGATGCAAAGGCATTTACTTAAACCAGAACACCTGTCCAACCACACCGTCACTGTACGTTTTGCTGGAGGAGCTGTCTTTTGCCTTCCCACTGCCCGAGTGCACCTGGACTGGGGAGTCGGATCTGGGAAAACTACTGTGGGGATCATGGCCCTCTGGCTTCTGCCTACTTACCCAGTAACACTGCTGCTGCTTGCCCAGTGACCACTTGATCACAGACCCGTGTCGCAGAGGACCCTACACCAGGATGGGAGACCCAGGTAAGAACCGACTATAGTTAATAGAACTTTAGCTTGCGATACACCAGAGGAGTTTGGGAGGGAAACTAGAGAGGACCCATCCCTCCAAAAGTACTGGGAGAAAGCCGAGAGTGGGGGGGATGAGCATGAACGTTTTATATGGGATAATGACAGACTGTATAGGTTGACGGAAGGTAGGAGGAGAGGCTGTGCCCCTTCACAGAAGTGCCAACTAGTGGTACCCAGAAAGTACCGGTTGGAGTTTCTCCAAATCGGACATGATATTCCCTTGGCAGGGAATTTTATTTTAGTGTTTTATTGTAACCATGTGGGTAATGGAGTTTTGCCTCTGTCCTTGGAGATGATTGGATTACTTCCCAATTATCTCCAGGATAGAGGGGAGGGATTGTAATGTACTGGGGGAGTGTTTTAACCCTGTATGCCTGTGATTGGTAATTTTAGCATTTGTGTCCCAGTCTTCCATCTGGTCCCTTTGGGGAGTGTCCACCAGGTGGAAGACCTGCATAAATACCGGGCAGGTATTTCTTTGGATTTTACAAATTGAGGGCAACGCATGTCTGAGTACAGCGACCCTGACAGCACGGAGATGGAACCAGCAGTGGAGTACAATAAGTGTATCATAAATGAGCGAGATGCAGTCCGAAAAGGCATCTGGTACCAGGCACTGGGTATTGTGGAGTACCAGCGGGGCGAGAGACTCCCAAGGAAGACCAGTGATTCCAGAAGTGACTAGCCCTGCGGATGCCCTTCCTGGGAAAGCAGCCCCTGGAGGAATTGGTGAAGGAATTGGAGCTCCGGTAAGGCAGGAGATTTGGCTTGAAGATGCCTACCAGGCGCTCTGGTGGTATGGGGCACAGTACCTGCCCTGGACTGCCGAGCATGACAAGCCAGAGGGAGAGGAGTTTGATGGTCCTGGCTTGTTATGGGAGACTTTTTCAGAGCCTGAGTTTGGGAGCCCTACACAAGCCAGTTTCAGTGATCTCTTGGAGTGGAGGGAGAGCAGGTATGACTGGGGCGACGACATTGAGCAAGACCTGGTC